ACCGAGCCCTCATTAGTGTCACACTCGGTAATAGTTTCAACGTTCATCACGGTTGACGTTCCATCTTCTCCACTGTTCAGCCCTTGATTTGATTCTCGATCAAGCGCAATTTCCGATTCTTGGAGATGTTTGGACGACGTCTCTCTTTCTGAAAGTTCAACCTTCGTTGGAGAATTTGCAGCACTATTTTCTCCTTGAATGTCAATCTCCATGGCAACGGACATTTGAAGCATTGTTGCATCACTCGACCCAGCATCCGCACGGTTTACTGTGCTGGCACTTAGCTCAGAATCTGCAGCATTGTCTACAACTTCGCCTTCTGTCACGTCGCCTCTCAAAGCTTGATTATGGGATTGGTCTGACGTGACCTGCGTGACTTTCTGCGTCACGCCATCTTCCTTACTGGTCAATTGATCAGTTTCCATTGATTCTGAAGTGGTTTCAATACATTCCACATTGCCCCCTTGTTCTGAGAGGTTCGTTGAATCATTAACAGCAACAACAAGCTCGTCGACAACATTTTCCATGTTACCTTGGTTTGTTTCCATGAACTCGTTTTCCTCTGCTGTCACGCACGCCACTTCTGTTTCCTCTTTGTCACGCTCGAGCAGCGTGATCTGCTCTACTTGTCCCTGTGTTGTATTCACTTGCACAACAACCTCTGTTGATCCAGAATTCTCAACCAGCATTTCTTGAAAATTTTCCTCTTTTTTCATCTCCACTTGCTCGGTGACCATGGACTTGGAAGGTACACTTGTTTCTTCCTTTAGCTCTTTAGATTTCTGTGCTACTCCAGGATCCTCGACCAACATTTCTGGAACATGTTCCTCTTTGTCCACATCCAATTGCTCAGTGACCATGGACTCGGAAGATGTACTTGTTTCTTCCTTGATATCTTTAGTATTCTGTGAAGCGCCACGATTCTCAACCGACATTTCTTGAACATGTTCCTCCTTTTTCGCATCCACTTGTTCAGTGATCATGACTTCCGAAGGTTCACTTGTTTCTTGCTTCAGTTCTTTAGAATTCTGTTCTTGAACCTCCTTAACTTCCTCCTGCCTCTGATTAGCCTCAGACTGATCCGTGTTCGTCTGTGAAGTGCTGGGGTTGGTCAACAGTATCGGTGGCGGGAGGGACTAAGAACGAACAGTATATTACTTCTTCAGTATTACGTCCCGCAACTTCTTCAATACAAATAAGGATTTCATTTACATCTCCTCTCATGAAGCCATATTAAAGATAATTTCTATTAACACAGGAGCTCATTAAGGATAACAATAATTATTGTTACATGTATTGTTCTGTTACAGGCCAATCTAAGGTGCTTTTGTTGAGAAACATCCAAACATGGATGGTTGCAAACTACTGCTAGGTCAGTGTGCAAGTCAGACCGGTCGGACAGAAATTAGCTGTTTCATTGTGACAAACCGGTTCATTGCCCTACTTCTCTTCAGTAGATTTCACTAATGTAGGGAATTTGGGAAAGGAATAAAAAATGGTAAGAGCCATTCCTCTTGTTGGTTGGCCCGGTCTGATCAGAAAATGTCGCTCCATTTTTCCTCGGGTAGTTACACTGGTGTCTAACTGGTCGTTCTGGCATGATGGAAAGGACCCTTAGTTTTCTAGGCCGACCTGGCAATTTACTGGTGCTCATTTATAAGCTTCATTGAAGAGCCAGCACTATGTACTAGACTTCTGGTTTAATGTGGAGTTTAATGAACTACGTTAAATATTTGACCACAGTAACTCCTGTTGGCTAAATTCATAAGATAACCAACTACAGTTGCTTGAAAGAAACTCTCTCAACAGGCAGGAAAGGATGCATATTCAAATCGTCCACATATGTGTAATGGGCAGGTAACATTTACCTCTACCTCTTTTTTTACCTTTAATTTTTTTTTTACCTCTACCTATTGAGCCTAAAACATAGGACCTGTATGTCCTTATTTACCTCAACAGTAGGTTTTGGAGGGGATTGGGCACCTGATAAAGTTTGCCCCTTTCCTGAAAATGCCATGCGAGCATGTGACGTGTCTCTGTGTCCAATAGCACCACTGAAGCTAGCCTCGCTGGACAGACTGCCGCTAGTCCTTTCCTCTGCAGGTATTTGAGTGGGGCGAGTGTGCGCCAGCAATAATGTGTCTTTGTCCAGCGGTTGCACTTGGATATGTCTTTGGCCAAGACAGAGGTCCAAGCGATCTTTTTGAGCATTGTAAGCAAACACCTGTAAGAATGGCAAAAGCACAAAAACAATTATTTAACAATTACACTACAAGCCCGAGTTTTCTATGAGCGGATGGTCAATGACCACTTTCTCTCAGACCAGTTCTTAATAACTGATTGACCTTCGCCATGCACATGTATATGTGGACTATTGCTGTCACTGTTACATTAAACTCGGTACTTGTTTGCTAATCCTAATACGCCATTTGCGAGTTTCCTTTTGCCTCTGCGTCAAAATGAGTCTTCGTGTGAAACCACTGTTATGAAAATGCATTTCACAACAAAAGTTTTGCACGAGGACAAAAGCGACAAAAGGTAACTTGGAAATGGCCTACTATATACTGTAGTTGTACAAATCAAATCCTATTCATATGGACACCTCAGATATGTCAGAAAGTGCCCCTGTTAATGAAGTGTTTCTGTTAAATGTTTTTACATGAGACAACTTACAAGTTATCGCACCAAGACCACAGTCCATGGTAACGAGCTGCTCCTACTGAGTACTTGTAAAATACATTGCGAGGTTCAACTACAGGTGCATGGTGAAGCATTTAGTAATGTGTCAATCACTAACCTTGTTTGGGAACTGAGGGAGTGTGCAGTGCTGGTTTGGCTGAAGTGGGCCTAGATCACTGACAACCTTGTTGTAGTAGAACCCTCCTCTGTCAAACATTTCATGACAATTCTGTGCTGCTTCCCACATGTCTCCACCAGTCAATGCACCTAATGCATTGAAAAGAACTGAGGCCATAGCAGCAGTGTTCTCAGCTACAGAAATAATAAAAAAAATTTAGAGCCACAACGCATAACAACTGAACAAAAAATATGGTTGATCATGAGCACAGTGGAACCCTGCCTTACAGCCAACCCATTTTCATGGCTACTTTGTTCTGGTCTGAAGAAAACCTCAGTCAGTCATTTTCTTATTTAAAGAACCCCTTTGATATGGCCACCCCATTAATACAGCCAGATTTCTGTGGCGTGTTGGTGACTGGATTTATAGGGTTCCACTGTATGCCAGATGCGCCCTTGATGTTACAGGTGAGCTTGCCTGTTGTTGATGCAATTCACCCACAGAGTAACAAGTTTGTTACAGATGTGATGATCAAGGCAACATGTGAGTCAAAAGTTTATGACTTAAGGGTGTAAAGAATACACATTTTCAAACTTTAGGGCAAGTTTTCACCATGATGTACTAGCCCAAACATCATTCTCACTAGCATCCCAAAGGTTCATCTCTTACAGGTCTTCTGTTATTTGAATTTCCTCAAATATTTTACCAAAAAACCTCTCTTGCTCATTGGACAAGTGATGGACAGAATCCACCAGCTCAACTGGAAAACCCGCTAGCCCCGGGCTATCAGACACCACTTTCTTTGCACACTGTCGACGTACAAATATGACTCCCACACAAGTATTATATACTACATTTTGTATATATTTAAACCATAATTTTAATTATTCGGTCTTAAGTTATAACCTTGTCTTTGTTGATCACTTTTTGCCTCTGCCTCAGAAGAAGCACTACTCTCACCCCCCTGTGCTTTTACTTCTGACATAACCACATCCGGGGGGATCTGCTCTGGGACAACTGGCTTTAAGTGTTCCACCATCACTCTGTCACCGTGTTGCAAGGGAACTGGGTCCTCCTCATGTCCCTCGACAGGAGGGTGTAGTTCATGGGGANCCACGTCCGGGGGGATCTGCTCTGGGACAACTGGCTTTAAGTGTTCCACCATCACTCTGTCACCGTGTTGTAAGGGAACTGGGTCCTCCTCATGTCCCTCGACAGGAGGGTGCAGTTCATGGGGAGGAAATCCGTACCTAGTCAACAAAGTATTGATACACTGGAATAACTATCATGGTAGTAAAGACAGTCTGAAGAAGAACTGATCTTGGAAACAGCCATTAGGATGGGCCATGATAAACAGCCAGATAATAATGTCCTTCTTTACATTTATAAATAGATAGGTCCCTGCGTGTGCTCTGATTGGTCAAAACCCATGTTTTACCAGAGTATAAAACATAGAAAACGTGTGTTGTTTTTTTGCCACATTACATGTAACTCTCGTCAACATTCTTATTAGAGATGGTGAAAAACATTTTCTTTGACAAAATTTGTGATGGGGTTCTCTGCAAAGCAGCAGGAAGTTTTGAGATGAGGCATGTAGCACTTTCATCATCAGTCTTTATTGCCCCCAGTGGGGCATGGGGCCACATGTAGCACTTTAGTGGTATTAAATTGCGTCAGTTTGTTGATCTGTGTGCTTTGTTGTTTCTACTTGTGGCGTGTAAAATCTATATGATAAAGCAAATGCAGAAGCCTAAGCCATGTATCACACTGTGATAAAAAACTCCGGACATTTGAGAACACTCGAGAAATTTAGAAAACATTTGCTTGCGGCTTGTGTTTTCTACATTTCCCTCGTGATCTCAAATACCTGTAGTATTTTATCACAGTATAATACACGGCTTAGGCTTCTTAATTGTTAATTCAGATATACTATAATACTAATTTCCACTTCACCTACAACAAAACGACTGTTAACTCTTTTATGAGGGGAGGAGGCACAAGAAAGTAAGGGAAGTTTATTTTAGAGCCTGGGTGCCAATTAAATTTTACTACAAGTATTTTAACCAAGGTAGGGCACTGATTTGGGATGGAGTGCTTTTTTAAAATTTTTTTCTTGTTTTTGCCTTGGTATGTCTATGCTCCCAAACTTCCAAACTGTACATGGATTTAAATGCTGTTAAATGTAAATTAACGAAGTTAACAACAAAGAGTAGCTGGTACATCTGGTCAGCAATATTCGTATGGTATTGCAAGCTTAGTGCACTTCACCATTGTACTAGTGTCTTCCAGCATGGTGGTCCTTGGAACGTTTTGGGTGTAGGATTGAGCAGTTTCCTGCACATCTTTGGTCTGTTCATGTGACATCTCTCT